AAACACATGAGAGTTGAGTGCTTACATCCGTGAGGGTCTACATGTTTCATTTATTCCATCTTCATATTAAAATGCTAACTAATTGATTATGAGTTGTGTGAGAATATTTATCTATGATGTGTTGTGTGTTTTAAAGAGTTTGATTATTTTATAATCATGGCATTACGATCGTGTATTCTTAGGGAATTAAATTTGAGTTTTGCTCGAGAACGAACAAAAGCTAAGTATGAGAGAATTTGATAGAAATGTAAAATATATTTTTTTTCCTACTTATTTTATATGCTTGTATGATTAATCAATGGCAAAATTTACTCATTACATTCATATTTTGATTTAGATGGAAATTCTATGGATATGGCGTAATTTGAAAGAAATAAGCGAACAAGGACCAAAATGAAAGAAAACGAAGTTTGGGGACTGAAATGTAAATATTCAAAAGTTGTGTGAAACCTCATGATGAAAATTTGAGTGTGTTAGAAGTCAATTGGATGAAAGAAGACACCAAATGGAATAAATATCGTCAAAATATGATTACACACCAATTTCCAATTGAAAAAAGTTATGCACCGATTTTTATCCTCATATTGAGACCCATTTTTGACATGGCAAATGATAGAATTGGAAGGCTATATGAAGCAAAGTTGTATCACTTTAAGTTAGCTTTTCAACGCATCTTGAATCACTGCAATCGGACATTGAGAGTGGAAGATATGACCAAAATACTGAAAGCTATCCGACGTAAGAAACCTATAACTATGCGGTTGCATGACTTTAATTCTATGCGGTCGCAGAGGTCTTTCAGCGAATTTCAAAGCCCAGTTTCAATGTTCTATGCAATCGCATGACTTACTACTATACGGCCGCATAGTTCATTCCGGACACGAAAATTTTGATTTCTGAATTTAAGTCTACTACCTATGGAAACAACTATAAATATATATTTTAAAACCCTTGAATGGAAGAAGAATGTACAGAACGCCTTAAAACTTTATTCTTCATTATTTTGCTCATAGATTTATGAATTGTAACTAAACTTTTACACTTGATCGAAGGAGATTGAAGTCTCGGAACCACATATTGTGAGATCTAAATGGTTTTTCTTAATTTAATTCTTTTTTTAAGTATTGAATATTCTTTTGCGCTTATTTCTATGATTGTTCTGTTTAATTGTCGGAGGCCTACTAGTTTATTATTCGTTACAATTTACCGCTAAGTTAAATATTAAATTAGTAATTGTTTGATTTCTTTAACTTGTCAAGTAACTAGGGTTTGATAATTTGATGCTTGGGTGATTTTTGAATTTTAGGAAGAATGTTCAATTAAATAAAATGCAACTGCTTGTGTTTGTGTTGCTTAGCTTCATCAATCTTTCTAATTCGTAATGCGATTGTCAAATTAAATCTAGAGCGCTTGTCTTAGATTGTTTGATAATTAGGGTTAATTTGGTCGCTTGTATTCTAATTAATTATAAGTAAGCAGATATAAACAACAATGAATATTTAAAATATGGATTGATTTATACTTGGATCGATGATCAATTGTGAAGTTCCGAAGGTGGATATTGACTTGGATCAAGATTAGTTTTTGATTATTTTCGTTAATTTAATTTTTATTGTTATTAATTGCGTTATTTATAATTGTTTGTATACAAAAACCCTCCAATCATTGTACGAAATATAAAATATTGAATTACATACTCTTTGGGAACACGATAGTGTGTTGAAAAATAAATTTTATTGTTACTCTATTCAGGAGTCTCACATACAATTTATAATAAATAAGATTAAAATTATAAAGTTATATTGATGGAAAATGCATATAGATGATGGACATTCATTATATAAAAAATATGTTTCTTTAAAACCTTAATAGGAAAAACTTCGTAGAAAAAATTCTAATGAAGGAAATGAGTACACTATTCATTTGAATAGACTAAAAAAGTTATCTCATTAAAAATATTGTTAGAAAAACCTAACATGACAAAATCTTGATAAAGGAAAAATGAGTGTAACACGTATTTATTCCCTTTATGATAATATCTCCTGAAATATATAGATATGAGTTGTTCGTCGTAACCACATATATCAGAAGAACATCAACTTTTTTGTAATATATCTTTTCGATTTCATTTCTTTCTCCATAATGACATAACTTATTGATATATCTAATTGTTAATATTTCATGTACTTGAGCATCTTCTTGGATTTTATAATTGGTTATGTTTATATAGTCGCTAAGTGCATATGCATCGTCAATGAGGCAATTTTTACTATTTATTTCATTTTCCTTCAAAGATTTTTGTCTTATAATTGAATGTTATCACGTCTTAGCATGTTATTGATTTATAAATATAATATTAATATATTTTTCTTTCAAGACGTTAAGTCGAGTTAGAGCATTTAAATTTGGTGTATGAGATACTTTTAACTTTTTGTTTGCATTGTCTTGTCTAAGGATCTAGATAATACGATGACACATTAAGTTTATTATTTCTGACTTCTTAATTCACCCCCCCTCGAGAAAATTATTCAATCAAATTGACAGCCTGTTAACTACATTATAAAATCTCAACATTCTTTATTGTCTGTCTCCGTGGACTATGGTGAAGCGATCATATATATGTTGATTCACTATATCTCTATGTGAGTCTGAATGACCCTTAACCAAATACATTGAACTCTAGGAATCCTATTAATAACCGCGATAACCATAAAAACGTATCTCAATTTGTTTTGAATTCACAAA